CTGCAATATAGGAAAAGTCCCAGCAGACTGGAAGAGAGCAAATGTTGTCCTTCAAAAAGGGAAAAAAGAGGACTCAAGTAATTACTACCCCCTTAGCCTGACATCAATACTAGAGCAGCATTCAAAAAGGAAATCCATAATTGCAAAAAGTCAACATGGGTTCCTGAAAATAAGTCATTCCAGGATAATCTTACCTCTTTTTTTTTTTTGATAAAAATTACCAACTTGGTAGATGAAGGGAATGCTGTGGATGTAGCATATTTTGATTTCATTAAGGAATTGACAAGGTCCCCCATGATAGTCTTACAAAAATGCTAGTAAAATATCGGCTAAACAATGCTACCATTGGGTGGATTTGGTCAAATTACTAAATGGGGCTTACCAATGCCCCTCTTCATCATGGAGAAAGGTAAACTATTGGGGTGTCATAGGTTCTGTCCTGGATGCAATGCCCAGGACTTGGATGAAGGAAGAGAGGGCATGTTTATCAAATTTGCAGATGAACCCAAATTAGGTGGGGTAACTAATAGCCCAGAGGACAAGATCAGAATTCAAAATGACCCTAATAGATTAGAAAACTAACACAATGAATTTCAACAGGGAGAAATCTAACAGCACTTATTGTAAGGTACAACACAGGGAGAAAAAAATGAAATGCACAAGTGTAGGATGAATGATACCCATGTACATGTGAAAGGGATCTAGAAGTGAAAGGACTCTAGGAGTCCTAGTAGACAACAATCTGAACAGGACTCAACAGTGTGGTACGGCAGCTTAAAAAGCCAGTATGATTCTAGGCTCCATCAAACACTGATTCTAGTGTTTAGATATAGAGAAGTAATAGGACCACTGTATTCTGGGAGATTATTGCATTGATTTTAAAACTTGCTTACCTGATCCAGTTTAAAATTTAAAGTAGGTGGCATCCTGATCTTATCAGAAGGATTTAGCTGATGAAATTGCTGTGCGGGTCCATGCTGGGTCCATCCCCACTCCCAGGGCTGCTCAGTGCACCTCTTTTCAAAGCCAGGAGTTTTCTGGCTTAAGAAAATGGCCACCGGAGCAGCCCTGGGATGATTTGGAGCCACACAGGAGGGGGGAGAAGCTTTATAGGTCACTTAGTTCTTACCATCTTTGTGTTTGGTTGGGTTTTGGGAGGTCTAGGTTTGAGTCCCCACAGAGCCAAAAAAAACCATCAGGTGACCTTGGACAACACAGGCTTTCCTTGGGCTGATCTTGGAAGTGGAGGAATCCTCCGCTTCCAGGATCAGCCCAAGGAATAGCCGAGGCTGCGGCTGGAAGGAGGCCTCCTTCCTGTCGGAGCCACAGCCATTCCTTGGGCCGATCCTGGGAGTGGAGGAATCCCCCGCTTCCAGGATCGGCCCAAGGAATAGCCGAGGCTGCAGCTGGAAGGAGGCTTCCTTTCTGTCAGAGCCACAGCCGTTCCATTTTGTGTGTCATTTCCAGTAGATGGGGTATAAAAATAGCATGTGCTGATGTGAGGCATGTAGCCTGGTGTTGCTAAGGAAGAAATTAAATGCAAATTCAGGTCCTTCGTCTCCTTTGGGGAGTTACTATTGGTTTCCACACTAACATCCAGTGTGCAGGATTTGCCTGCCACATTAAAAAAATAGGACATACAGCTATGATTCCTCCATAATTTTATATTTGGAGAAATAAAAAGGTTTTGTTGTTTTATTTGAGTTATAAAGAACAGACCAAAGTCATAGTTAAAAGTGGAACTGTTCAGTAATAGATTTGTATTTCTAGCAAGCCCTCTTCCACAGGGCTCACCCAGTTAAAATTAAAAATGATTTTTATAACCTTTAAATTAGGAATACAAAGCAAAACCTAAAATGAAGGAGAACAGATGCAATGGAGGCTTCCTGTATCTCAAAAGAGCCTGGAAGAGTGAATTTTGACATATTCAGTCTCTCATTTAGAAGATTCAAAGGTCCAGTTTAATAGATTCAAGAAACAGGTTATGGGGAAGATGTCTCTACCTATGATGTCTGTGTGTATATATGTGCCTTCAAGTCACATGCTTATTTATGGTGACCCCATGAATTTAATGGGGGTTTCTTAGGCCAAAAAAAGCTTGAAAAGTTGGTTTAGAAACTGATATTCTCAGAATCCCTGAATTAGCATGGCCTAGCATTTCCTACCTTTGAGTGGAAACACTGAACAAAATGGCAGTGGCATCATTCGGGGTGTGTGGAGAGTCCAGGCCATGCCAAATGACACCTCCAAGGCAGGGTGACACCCAGTCTGATTCTCCTTACATGGAGGAGTGCACTGCTGCTGCCCTGGCTCTCTCCAGGAGAAAGAAGGAAACACAGAGGAGAAGGTGCAGTGTGAACCTCTTCCGTTGCCTCCTGCTGCCTCTCTTCCCTGGCTGCCCTCATCACGAGGCAGGTGATGGCCAAGTGGCCTGCTAGCAAGTGAAGCAACAGGAGGGGACAGAGAGAGAGCAATAAGGGCCACCGCCACCACCCAGTAGTCCTTTCTGGTCTGGCCAGGTGGCAGGCAGCAGCAGGCAGGCAGATGAGAGAAGAAATGGGAAGAGGAGGGGCAAATGCTGGATTTGCTGCAACCTTGGTTCTTGTTAGGGTATTGGTAAATTTCAACAGCAGATCATTTGCAGCAAACAGGAGACCAGCCTGGAGATACCTCTTACCTGGAGATAACCTGGTAAGAGATCTTCAGAAAGACTGGGCTCTTGCACTTGAGCCTATAGATACAAAGTTATCAGCACTAACCAGGTGTATACATGATATAGAAGGGATGGCAAATGCAGCTCTCCAACAGCCGCTTTGCGGGTATGGCATTTATACAACACAGGTCTCCAAAATGTCTGGAAGCCTCTCTGAGGCCAGCTAACATGTCCCAAAGCCACTGGAAAAAGGAGTGTCAAAAAACCTCTCCTGCTTGCAGTCCTGGAGTGATCTGTTTCACCCCAAAGATGAGTATGCCAGATACCCTACCCTGGGCAAGTTGCTCCAGGTGTTGTTCTAGAAACAAGATTTGTAGTTAAGTTTCAAGTGTCATTCTAGCTGGCTTTTTTCCATGAAATGAGAAGGTGTTTGCATCTTTTTCCTTTTCTTCATAAGAAATTGGAGATATAACTCAAGATGCTCAAAAGACAGATACTTTAAGAGTAAAAATCTTTGGTGTGTTTTGGAATGAAAAACTGCTTCAGGGATTACTAAGAATCAACATTCAATATTTCTGTACTTGGATCCATTTACTGGAAAGTGAACCCTTCAGGCCAAAATGCATTGCACTTTTTTTTTTTACTAACACAGTTTCTGCCTCCAGTTCCCACAAGTAGATCCATGCTGCCTCTCATCATCCCAGACCACAAAACTCACAGTTGCCTACTAATAATTTCCTCTTTCAAATTGGAAGTGAAACCAGAAAACTATTTATTTGGAATGTTCAAAGAGGAAATTAAGAAGAGAGATAGGAAAATCTTGTTTGATCTGGTAAACAAATTAACATGTCTGATGAGAGACAAATCCCTAGAGAAATTCAATGATGAATGGGGCAAAGTGATTAATTTTGAGAGCAATGGGGAGATATAGTAATTAAAAGTTTCACACAACTAATAAGTAAACAATTATCTATTTGGATAAGAAATGTATTGATGAAATATATGTTTTTTGAGATAATATTACAAGATAAATACTATAATTATGAAATAGCATTAGAAATATGGGAGGTTTAAGGAACAAATAAGATAACGTATAAAAACATGAGATGAGAATTGTAACAGTGTGGAAATATAGTGGTAATATAAGAAAGTCATTAAAGTCATTAAAATCAACAAGAACTATGACATATAGGTAGTGAGGAAGTTGGGATGTATGTTGTTATTTTAAGTGAAGTTAGGAAGAGGGTTAGAGAAAGGAAAGAATGGTAGGAGTTGAAAGTAAAGTAAGTAGTTGAGAATGGTGAGATAAGAGTAAGAGTTGGATGAATGGAAGGGAAAAAGATAAGGAGAATGAGGAGGTTAAAGGAGGAAGGATAAGCAGGAGGAAAGGGAGAAGAAAGTAGGTGGTAGAAGGAAGATTTATGAAAGTATTTAAATGATTTTAAGTCATATAGAATAATAAGTCTATTATTACTGCTTCCCAATGTTTGGTGATAGATATGCTATGTCTGTTGATTATTTCATTTAAGTATGTTTGATGGTTCTTTTTTTTTTTAAAGTGAAAATCAATAATGGCCTCTTTCCACAATATCAGTAGAGTAAGGTACTGTTTCCATGATGGTGCTTTTCTGAGTGGAACTGCACATTAAGCTAACCTAATTTCAAAGCTGTAATTGGTAACAAGGGAAATGTAAACCTTTGGATCAATTCACAACTCAGAAGATCAAACAAGAATACAGTTGAAGAGGTTTTTTTAAAAAATGACTGTCTTCAGAATTAATGCTGAGTGAGTCAACCAACCAATCAACACATTGTCCATTCCTAGATGGTGATATATTTCTTCACTGCAAGTGCATGTAGTCAACATATGGGGCTCAATTTTATCTCTTGCTCGCTATCCAAATTATTTATGAAGGTGTGAAAATGAGATACTTGCTGAATTTCTTTTTAAAACTCTATATGGGGTGAACTCTGGCCTTCAGAAGGCCTGATCTGAAAGCTTTATAGGCTAAGCTATTAAGGGATTTTCATTCCCAAGGCATTTGGACAGGAGTAAATAAAAACTATACTGTCAGATGCCTTGAGACTGTGGGTACAAATATATCAAAATATGTGTTGTTATTATATGTCTTTAGGTAATGCTTTCTTGGCCAGATTTTCAGAGGAGGATTGCCATTACTTTCATTTAAGACTGAGAGAGTATGACTTGCCCAAGGTCACCTAGTAGGTCTTCATGTCTGAGCAAGGATTTGAGCCATCACTTTCTGGAGTCACTATGTCATGATGGCTCTCACATCAAATACACGCTTCCTTAATGATGCAGAAGTAAGAAGAAAAACTAATGTGAGCCCATGTGGTGTAGTGGTTTAAATGCTGGACTAGAACTCTGGAGAGCAAAGTTCAAATCCCTGCACAGTCAAGAAATCAAGAAAAATGCCTGATAATATGCTTAAGAGGGGTCGTGGAACATGCAGAAAGAGATGATGTACTGTCATTCTTGATTAATTGGATCAATGGCGTCTGCCCAGACTTGAACTTTAAACCATCTGATATCGAAAGGTCACATAGATCCTTAACTTTGTATAGCAGATTGAATACTTTTCCATGGGACATCATTATTAGATTTGCCCACTATCAGACAAAAGTGCAAGTACTATCCAAATTCAATGGCATCTCTGATCTCACTTACCAAGGCTACAAAATAGTATTTCAAGATCTCTCCCCTGAAACCCTGCAAAAGAGGCACATCTTCAAACCATCCACAACCCTACTACAACAAGCAGGAGTGAAATACAAGTGAGGATTCCCATTTCTATTGATCATTATTCAAGGTGAGAAAATTATGGCTATGACTTCTAGAGAAGAAATGCTGCATGTCTGTGAAGCTCTTGACATGAGTGCCTCTCATGATTTATAAAGGGAAATAAAGGAAGAAATTTCCTCCTCTAATCTAATGGCTATAGCCCAAGAAAGCTCAAAATGGCAAACAGTCAAATGGAGAAAAGAAGGCAAGAAAGGAAAAGAATTGACACTCTGAACTGAGAATCTTTATTTTGCTACCCATGAACAACTGAACTTCACATCACGATTTTGACAGTTCTTCTTTGCCCTAGCTTGGCCTATTTAAAGCAAAGCAAAAGCAAAGCAGCTTCATTTATATACCACTTCATACCGTGCTATGGGGTGTCTAAGCGGTTTACAACTGTAAGCCCCCCAACAGTTGGGTAATCATTTAGCGACCTCGGAAGGATGCAGGCCTGAGTCTAGCCTGAGCCCTGGCTAGTATAGAACTTGTGGTCTATGAGTGAGTGGCTGCAGTACAGGCATTTAATCACTGCGCCACCAGGCTCCTAGGCCTTTTTAGGCCTTTTTTGACAGTTCTTCTTTGGCCTTTAATCTGGTGCTGCAGGGAAACTGTTTTCTGTTCAACCAACACTGAGGCAATCCATCAGATGGCCACCTACTTATTTCTCTGTCATCTAGATATTGGTATGAGGAACTGCTTTTCTACAGCTTTAAAGCCTTTGCCATAACTCTAGATCTGGTAGCTGAATGGTGCAGTTTAGCTAAATTTCTAACATCCCAGACTCCAAATTGTGGCCCCCACACTCCACCTATTACTCATAAAACTGGATTGTGATACCTTGGTTCATCTCTCAAACACAGTTCTCATCCCTTGGTCCAATCATCATCATCACCTCCACACCAGAATGCCATCACTCTCTCACACTAGAATGCCATCACTCTCTCTACCATTATTGTTCAGATCAGATTACTAACAAGGGAATCACTGAAAGCTCCTTTAATGTGATCGTAGACATAGTGTTATTTTGCCTAACATTACTTGCCAATCTTATATCTTGTTGCCCCAGTATATGTACTCTTTTGAAAGTACCTAAACAGTGTTTGAGATCCAGTCCTGTTCCCCCACACACACACTATCTACTGTCCTCCCCAACTCCTGCCTAAGGAAACCAGCTATGTTTGTACTGATCAGGCTCCCAGCTTTAGTGTGGGATCATGTCCTTTTGGCAACGATGGGCTTCTACAGACCAGACCAAAAGGCTGGCCTGGAGGCAGAGATGGGAGGGGCAGCCACACACCAGCTGCCCCAACCTTAGCCCAATGATATCCTGGTGCTGTGTGCCATTACGCACAGTGCGCAGCATCAGGATGTCCTCCCAGTGCAGCATTTTTAGGCACTGCATCGGAAGGGGCACTAAAGAGCCGTGCGCCAGCTCTTAGGACGCCCTTTTGCCATTCCTGAAAGGAGTGACATTTTGCTGCTCTTTCAGGAGTGGCAAAAGGGAGGATCAGGGCCACGGTGTGCAGTTGCCAAGGCCCCAATCCGGGGCTAGCAGGGGTGGCCCAGAGCTGCCCGTTTGCAGCCCCCCCTCAGTTTTTAGAGTCTATTATTGTTATAGTTGGATTTTTGCATTTTATATGTTGGCCTTGGAAAGCAGTATTTGTTGGGGAAAGCTTGTGTCAAATTCCAGTCAACTACAAGAGGCAAATGCAAATTAATGTAGATATTTAAGCTCTTCTTTTACCTTAGATCTGGATAATCTTACAACACAGACCAGAAAACTTTCTTACAAAACTTTATGAAAATTCTCATGCAATTGGTGAAATCATTATAGGTGGTGATGCAAATGAAGTTCTGGATTATAATCTAGATAGATTCTGCCACCCCTCTAGAGGGAGTGCAAGAGAAACCTCACTGTCAAATATCATTGCCAAAGCTACTCTTCTTCATCTCTGAAGAGTCACACACCCACACAATAGAACATACACCTTTTTCTTCAACACACACAAGACATACTTGGCACTGACTATATTTTCATTTCCAAATCACTTCTCCCAGAGATCACTGATGTCCAGATTAATCCCATCATGCACTCTGATCATGCATCCTTAATCATGAACTGGAGACTTGGCCCTCATACACTGAAAACCTGAATCTGGAGATTTAACCCTTCCCTCTGATTAGATTCACAATTTCAATCCCAAATTAAAGATACAATCTTTTATAAAGAAAACAAAACAGCTGACACCTCATAGACCTTCCTATGGGATACCTTAAAAACAATAATCTGGGGGCTGTTTATTCAGGAAGGGGCCAGGAAAAAAAATCAAGAGATCTGACCAGACAAATACTTACAGTATTTTCTGGCGTATAAGACTACATTTTAACCCTGGAAAATCATCTCCAAAGTCGGGGGTCGTCTTATACGCCGGGTAGCGGGGGGGG